CTCACTAACTAACTAACTAACTAACTAACTAACTAACTAACTAACTAACTAACTAACTAACTAACTAACTAACTAACTAACTAACTTTAGTACCTTTGTACTGCTGAGCTGCAATATTATCACTACCTTAAGTTGCTCATTTAGAAATTTGAGTAGAGAAACCCAATAAATTGGAACAAAAATACATTCAGTATTTTACACAACACAGTTTCCGTTGAAACCCACCTGTCTCAGGATTGTAGATATTATTTTCATTCACAAAGATTTTGTTGAACTTAATGGTTTCAGGCTTTTTCATTGGCCTAGTCAGAGCAGCAGAGAAGGAAAAACGAGGCACATGGGCATCAGATCCTCGGAGACCTGATAACAGAGCAGAAACAGAGTCTGAGTTAGTGGGAATTAAAAATCCAAGAGTGGTGAAGGCTTTTATCTGCTGTTGTAGTGAGATCAACACATACCCTGTTCACCTCTAAGACCTAAAAAGTAAGATGAAAGAAAAAGACAGTAAGATAAAGACCACAACATGTGAAGGAATAGAGCTAAATATACACAAACTGAAACAGTAAACACCAACATATTTACCTGGGGGCCCCACTTCTCCCTGCTTGCCTTCTCTGCCTGGAGGTCCAATCCTCCCTTGTGGCCCAACAGGACCCTTGGGTCCAGGCTCRCCTTTCTCTCCTCGAGGCCCTGGTGGACCTGAAGAAGTGGATGGTTTTAGAGACAGCGTAGCTAAGAAATACTCCATATAAAACCCTGTTCTCCAGTGATAATATCTGTTAGAAGGATTCCAAAAACAAGAACATTAAGCCAAGAAGGCCGAGACATTTAACCTGCAAAATGTGCCTTTCAAACCAATGTTTACTAAAACTAACCCTTCAGACAGACAGCAGACTTTATAGGCTTTTAAGTGGATTCTTCTAAACATGACAGACTGGATTCCTTCCTTGGTCTATTTTAGCCTCATGTCTTCCATCAAATATGTGTTTTCTCTTGACTCAAAGTTAAATCCCATGGCCCCTGCCTTCTGTGACTCACCAGTAAAGTCCTGATTCCTGAAAATATGGAACTGTCTTCCCAAGTCCAGCACTGAGGAGTTTAGTTTATGTATCCGTGAGTGGATGTTCTCCAGCTTGATGGTCTGGATGTCGTTGATGAGAGCTCCGTGAGACGTCACTGTGGTATTGAGTTCGTTGACGCAACTCCACAGGCCCGACACATGTCTGTTCAGGCCTTCTTTGATCCTCCCCAGACTGTCTGAAAACGAATCCAAGCGGACACAGACCCCCTCCAGCTTGGAAAGTCTCTGGTCCAGGCCATCGTTGGAGCGCCGGCACTCCTGCACCTCTGTCACATAGTTGTTCCTGTTTATGTGAATCTCTTTGTTCAGATTTTCAACCCGAGTCTTTGTGTCTTCAATGTGCTCAGTCAGCTCATTCTGCAAGTCGATCACCTTAAAGAGATCAAGTCAGTTAAAATTTTTAATAGCAGCTATTTGAAAAATGAAACTTGTAGAAATGATGCCTAATATCTTTCTGAACTCCTGTACTGTGTTTATTATGCCACAATCCTATCTTTATGAACAAAAAATTAGAACATTGATTACTTAAGATTCTTGCAATAATATACTACACTGTGTTAATTGTTGTTTAGCAAAGTCAGCAGCTGAGAAACCTGCAGAAAAATGTAAAGATTGTCAACAGGCAAATATTAACATATACATATATATATATGCATATGTACATACAGTATACATATATATGTATATTTTTTTAAAGAACCACCCCGCCACACTGATTAGAAGGAGTTTGATGTCATTACATATACAGCTGTCATATGCATACATACAGTATACATATACATATACACACACACACACACACACACACACACACACACAGTATATATCAGTAATCAGTTAATCTGACCTATAAAATACTGCATGGATTTACCCCATATCCAAATTCCAATGTTTGCAAAACTCTAACTTGTCGATTCCAATTTTGRCCAGTTTAGACTTTAAGAAATTTAAGTGACAGCAAACAAAATATATTTTCATCTGAGAAATGTTTCTACCAAACAGTATTCGTTAACACAGCTTTATCTTCTGTTACAGTGGAAATCCACAAAAAATATCCTCCTGGGCCCTCATGCATAAAGGATTGCGCAGCTTTCACAGTAAAAKTTGACGTACGGACAAATTTAGAAAAGTGCGCCGCACCAAAAAATTCAGATGTATAAAACAGTGCGCACACAKGTTCCTGCAYACCTTTCCTTTAWACATCCCAAYRAACRTGGAACTGAGCGCACCTGAGACACCTCCCCTGACACRCCTCCATTTAAATATGTAAAATAGATGTAAATGTGTCCAGCGTGTGAGATTCTGCTCAGATTGTCCTCTCTGTGGGATCAGAAATGATTTTTAGATGCAGGAAAATTATACATTAAATGGAGAATGAGTGATAAAACTGTCTAAATAAGCAGTGGAGTGTAAAAATGTAGTTGCCACACACAAAGGTGTGTGTGGGTGTTGGCGTGTAAGCACGTGTGTACTGTTTTCAACAGCACATGAGGCTGACAGACATTTCCACCTTTACACGTCTTTAATAAATGACTGTAAACACAGAGAAACATCTGAGTTTGGTATAACTTAGAAAAANTGTATGTATGTATGTATGTATGTATGTATGTATGTATGTGTGTTCTTTTTCCTAAAGATTATAATAAGATTAGTAAAAAAAAATCATATTCTATAAACAAAGCCATAGAAGCACTGATGTAGCTGAACATGTACAAATCATTATACTATCTCTTCCGTGTTACAGAGATGAGAAAAGGTTTGAGAAGAAGGAAACTCGGTGGTAAACTGACTGTGAAAAAGCAACTAAAGTCATCGCTAAACATTTTGACAATGACACAATACTTGTTACAAAGTCTGCTGCCTCTGGTTTTATAAAGTATATGAAGTATATTGTATATCTTTTTGTAAGGGATGCCTGGGCCTGAAGGCAATCTAATATGGATGTTTCTGGACTATGGAAAAAAACCTAGAGTACCTGGAAAAACCCACATACTGTAAACATGAAAAGAACATACAAACTCCACACAGCAAGACCCCAGGTCCAAAATGACTTTCGAACCCAGAACCTATTATGTAACAGTGCTAACCACTGAGCCTTTGGGCTGTTCTTAGCATAGCTGAAATACTAAGCATTCTATCTAAACATTTTTTCAACATTTGAGCAAAATAAAAACTGTTTAAAAATGCCTGCACAGTTTGAATACTAAAAGTGAACATTGATAATGTCTAGGCTTTAGACTTGATATTGACAAATGTTTGAAAAATGTGATTATATACTTCCTTACTTACTTAATAAAAAGCTTAGGGCCCCCTTCACACTTGAATACCTCCACTCTGTGACCAATACATCTTATAAGAGTTCAGCTGAATATGGGCCAAATTGAATGATAAATGGACAGTACTTATAGCACCTTTCTAACTACAAATACATTCATACAGCACTCTAAATCATTCTATACAGTCTGATTATTGCTTTTAATCATATTTATACTTAAAATAGAGCACATCAGAAGCAGCGAGGGGTTCAGTGTCTTGCCCAGAGACATTTAATCATGTGACTGCATAACGCTGGTGCCGAACCTCTGACACTCTTGGTGGAGGACAATTTCTCTAAYCACGGATCCACAGGTCCCCTAAAAATCTTTTCCAGTGTGAAGGTAATCAAGGTGCTGCTGTCCTCACTGTGCTTTTAATGCTAGCCCTGATTTGGTTAGTGTTGGACTGAGCCTGAAGGCAGCTTCATGCTAGAAGATCCCACCACAGTGGATTTACGAGCTGTTTCTTTCACAGGTATCATGTATGCAACATGTTGTTTCCATGACTTTGACACAATCAACTCCTGCACCTCCAGCTACATTTTTTAACATCCACAAGCCTACCAATAAACATAACACCCAGGAAATACAAAATAAACCATTGGAAAGGTCTGGAACAAACAACCATAGATTACCCAACTATTCCAAAACCCCAGAGAAAAAAAAACGGCTAAAGGAAGTAGACCATGGAGAAACTAATGGTGTGCCTTTAATCAGGCAAAAACCTGTGTTGGAAATATCAAAACCAGCTTGGCAAATTGGGATTGTCAGTAATGCAGACTAAATGTGGTCACCAAATCCAGAACAAGGATCATCTTTTAACTTCCTGCACTTTAAGTCCAGTACCTATAACATCTGCAGACCTCTGCCAGGTCAGTGACAGAGTAAAAACATGGCTGTCTTTCTTGTGTAACGATACAATTACAACCTCCTGCTTTGAAATCTCGATGTCTTGGTAAAGTCACTGCAGCAGCTGGTCTACCCAATCCTGTACCACAACTTTGTACAKACGCTTTGTGCCCAAACCCTAACCACAACCTTCTGTGTTTTTATTACAAGTGAGACCCTGCAAATATCTAGATTTAGGTTATTTTTATACTGTAGCATGGTTGTCGTTGGGGTGTGAAGGGGACCTAAGAAACATTAAAATATTATCTAGTTTGATAGGTTTAAAAACATTTTCACTATACCATCAGCTTACCACGGAGTTGGTGTTTTCATTGCTGTTGGATAGATCTGTTAATGTGTTCCCATGTGTCTGCAAGATCCTTTCCAGATTTTTCACCATATTATTAACAGAGTTAAAGTTGACCAGAACCTCAGACAGTTCTCCTTGCATGGACTTCAGATCACCTCCTAGTTTTCCACTGTGGAAAGTATGACCATCCAAACGTTTCTTCACATCGTTGATGTCGATCTTGCACTGTCCTGTACATTGTTCCACCTCCTCATGAAGTCGTCCCACTTCCTCCTGAAGGTTGGAGCAGATCTGCGAGCAGGCAGATTCACCTGACCCAATCTTTTGTTGCAGATCTGTGAGGCCTGTCTGGCATTTGTTGAGACTGTGTGTGGTGGAGTTAGAAAACAAGCGGAAATCCTGCTCTACTCTGTGGCAAACAGAGCAGTCCTCAAAGTCCCGACCCAACATCTCAACCTCTGTGATAATCCGAGTGAAGTGCTCCCCATTTTCCCCTGTCACAGCTGTAATCTTTTTGACACTGTTGTTTAAGTCAATCACTTTGTTAATCAGCGAGTCTCCTGTCTCAGACAAACGGTTCAGAGTGCTGTTAAATCTCTTAATCTCATCCTGGTTGGACACAACCCTCCACTGTAAAGTTTTCACAGAGTCATCARTTGTTTGGCTGTTTCCGTTGCGGCCACAGGTCACATTGCACATGTCTGTGGTTGATGTTAGCCTCCTGTCGAGGAAGGATGTGATGTTCTCCAAGTGGCCCAAACGTCTGCTATGGTCTGTCACTGTGTCTCCTAGAACGGACACTTCCAGCTCTATTTTCCCAATCTTGAAGTTGTGGTCATCCAGCTGACTAACAACCATGTTGCGCAGCTGGGTGAAGTCTCTTTGGATGGTGTCTTTCACGCTGTTTGCAGTGTTAGTACACCTCTGTTCTGTCTTCCTCACTGTGTTATTTAACCTTTTTTCTACTTCTCTCAGCCTGCTATTGAACCGCTCCTCAGCRACCCATCCCTTCCCTCCACCTGTTCCAGCTAGCTCCTTGTCCAGTYGCCCTTTTACGGTGTCACACTTGTCTGAGGTAGATGTGAGTCGAAAGTCAAAKTCCGACAGCCTCTTTTCCAGCTCGGTGACTGAGCGGCAGCAGGCTTGGGAGCGCTCCATTTCACTGCGAAAGATTTCCACGTTCTGAGTGAACTGCTGATTCATAGAACCGATCAGCTTCTCCAGAGCACTGATACGGTCTCTGTCCTCTGCCTGCTGCCGTCTTAGATCGTCTACACCAACCTAAAAGACAAAATGAGAAGGGAAGTTTTCTTGTTTTTGGCTTTAATTTTTCTGTGCCAAGTATTCTAATATTGCTCTAACAGCCTTAAACCTATATGTTTCAAAGTCATATGCCTCAAGCAAGGATGGAAAGTAATTCTTCATGAGTTGTTTAAATTAACAAATCTAAAAAAGTTGCCTCTGTTGTTTTTCTAAAGACTGTTTTTGTTTGTTTTTGTTACATGCTGCTAACCTGAGCATAAGTTGTACCCTAAACACCACAATGGTTTTACAGCCAAGGTGCTTTTTCAACACATCCACCTCTACCACTAATCTACTTATGCTGAAGGTCTTCATCCAAAAATATAACCCTAACCCACCTACAGATGGTGGTAGTGATGGGATAAATATTTGTATAACAACCAAATCTTTGAATAAGAATACTTTTGCTTGAAATGCCCATCTCTACTTTCAACTACCTTTGTGGAATGAATTTTTCCTGTTTCTAAACATTAGTGCAGTGGGTTGTTTTTGACAACTAAATTGTTGTCTGAGTTGTCTTAATAGCAGCATCATTTTGTCCATATTTTGTGGACAGACGGATTTCTTTGAAKGAGTCTAGAACTCTCACTCTGAAAAAAAGGAAATTCTCCACTCCAATATCCTTTGTTACTTTGGCCGTTTCTTCTTTTTTATTTTGGGGCCATTTGGCCATAAGTGTCTGCTTGCGGATACAACGGCCAGCTTCTGGAAACGAAGCAGTTGAAGCAAAATGGCACCAAACACGCCCACAAACTTCTGACCAATCACATAACGCTTTTATATACTGAGGAGGGGAAAAATTTTTGTCTCGGCCTTGTGCCAAGCGGGGGACCAAAAGTTAAACACAAAATAAAGCAATTTTTGCCATGCAAAACTTGCAACCTGTCCAGGGTGTACCGTATGATTCAGTGCATTCTGATCCATAGATAAAAAGTCTAAACAAAAAGGAGTTCGCTAAGATAAATAAATGTTTTTCTGAAAAAGGAAGCTCTTTACATTTCATAATAAATGTAACATCTACAGTATAACATCTTACCTGCATGTATAACAACTGRCCTGATTTAAGCAGCAAAATTTATTTACAGAGCAAAAACAATTATACAGTATCAACTCAAACATGGTTTTATTTTGCTCCATTCTACACCTAATGTTTACCTGGCAGGCAGAGCAGGACAAAGAGACCCTTCTCTCCAGCTCTGTCAGTATCTCTTCCTTTAGTGTGTTCAGCTGGTTCCCCCCTCCTCCACCTCCTCCTCCACCTCCTCCTCCACCAGACGTTCTGTCCACTTCATTGCCTCCTCCGTTCACCAAGTGCTTGTTGATATTAACCAGGGTCTGATCGTGGACCTAAACAACAAAATGAACACAGTGATTATGTGACCTATGCTTCAAATGAGTTCTTAAATCTCTTGTAGTCATGTTAAAAGTGTAGCAACTCTTCTTCATTTTTATTTCTATATTGTTGTCGGTTGTTGTTGGTGGCACGGTGGCGTAGAGCTCTCAGCAAGGTCGCTGGATTGAATCCTGGCCCGGGGACCTTTCTGGGTAGAGTTTGCATGTTCTCTCCTTGCATGCATGGGTTTTCTCTGATACTCTGGCCTCCTCCCACAGACCAAAAACACGACTATTAGGTTAAMTGGTAACTCTAAATTGTCTCTAGGTGTGAGTGAGAGTTGTTTGTCTCGTTCGTCTCCATGTGACCCTGTGATGAYGGCACCAGTGACCCCCATAACACTGAAAGGAATAAGTGGATATAGATACTGGATGGATGGATGGATGCTTTTTAATGACATTCTAAAGAAAATACCCAGTTCCTACCAAGTTTTAAATTCAATGGTCAATGTTGTGAAATAATATTTTTATTTATATAATGAAGCTGTTTATTACATCAGTTTCTTAACACTCTAGTCTAGAAAGATTTTGTTTCTGGTTGAAACCTGACCACTGACTGTATCAGTGGAAACTCTGCCTCTGCCACTCCGAGTCTGCAAGGCAAGTCTCAAGAACACACACACAACCAATGTCCACAGTATCATTGCCAATTCTTCATGAGTTTCTTTGTCAGCCTTGTTGCAGATTTGCTGCTGTGTTTGGGATCATTGGGCCTCATGCAAGAACCGTTCGTACGCACAGATTTGTTCTTAAATTGTGCGTACG